CGCGCTCTGAAGTCTGTGACCGTCGCAGCCAACTCCCGGCAGCAGCCCGGGACGCAGCGAGCCATCGGCCCGCCACAAACCCCCCTCCCAGCTGGAGGGCGAGGCCAGCTGTGCCTGCCCCAGCGCCCTTTCTCGGCCACAGGCGTCTGTCCTCCGGCCCGGGGCTCCCGCGCCCGATCGGGGTTCATGGAGCTGGGGCTTTGGTTCCTTTTCGGGCTCACAGTGACCTCCGCCGCAGGTAAGCGGGCGGGGCGGCGCGCGTGTCCCGGCGCGAGCGCACACAAAAGGACCCCGGGATCGGGGGCGCGGAAAAGGGTGCCCTGCGCGGAGCGGCCTCTTGCCTAGGCTCGCCACCCCTGCAGGCGGGGGCGGGCTGGTGGGGGTGGGGGGCAGAAGCTGAGGGCGCGGACTACCCCGCAGGCTGGGGAGGTTGCAGCTTACGTACGCGCAGGCTGGAGACCTGGGGCCTGGGGGCCAACTTGGTCAGTTTTTCATGAAGTCGGGAACCTTTTAAAAAGTTTGCAAACTTTTCAGAAATGGTGCGAAATGATTGCCACGTTTTCCGAAAGCCTGTGCAATGCTTGCACGTTTTCAGTGGGAGCAGACAGCTTGCAGACAGTGCAGAAAGGGAGACTGGCTTCCCTACTTTTCACCAAACGTGCACATAACTTGCAGACTTTTCAGAAACTGCGCATACAGCTTTTGCAGACTTTTCCAAATGTTTGGCAGAGCTTGGAGACTTCACAGAAAGTGCCATTAGCTTGCCAACTTTGCAGAAAGTTTGGTTGTCCCCCTCTCCCGGGTTTTTGGGGACGATGGGTGTTGGGGACCCGCATACTCAGGAGTCCCTCAATCTGCATCTTGCAGGATCGGTGCCAAGCCCCCAGCCTGGGGACACTGGCAGGAGCGGCGAACCCCGGGCCCCCTCTGCAGCCAGATCTGAGGGGGACACGGAGGAGACTGTGGCCACAGCGGCAGTGCGGGGTCCAAGCCCCGGAAGCCATGGGCAGGAGCAAGGACCAGGTCAGTTTGGGGAGCAGGCAGCCAAAGGGGACCCCGTGCACCACCGAGCCCGGCGCTGTACATGCCTTACCTACAAGGACAAGGAGTGTGTCTACTATTGTCACCTGGACATCATCTGGATCAACACTCCTGAGTGAGTCAGCCTTGGTGTGGGGGAGTCAGCCCTGGGGACTGGGGCTCCCAGGCCACATGCCAAGAGGACCTGGTCCTACTCCAGCCTGGTCAGCCCAGAGCCCACCTGGCACAGCCTCTGGCACTTGCTAAGTCTCCTGCCAGCCCAGGCCCTGTCTGCAGGCCAAGGGTGTGACCCCCACCCCCTTTGAGGGCCTGGACCAAGAGAAACCCAATCTCGGAGTGTCTGATCCGGGGCGGGGGGGAGCCGTCCCTCCCTCCCTCCCTCCGAGTGCAGTGAACCAGCCGGAGGAATTAGACACCTGAGAAGTCCCTCTGGGAGGGAGGAAGCCCCGAAAGTTATCTCCTGCCCCCTGGGCTCAGTGGACCCGGCCCCTCTCCTGACCCTGCCAGACTCCAAGGAGTTTCACATTCCTTGAAAGCAGCTGGCTCTCTAGGGAGCACAGGGGTGGGCTTGGCAGAACCTAGAAGAACCTGTCAGTCAGGGTGAAATTCCACGGGCTTCAAGCTCCCTCACCGCCACTGCCCCAGACAGCTGCCTTTCTCCGCTCCGGTCCCCAAGAGCTCTCTGACTGCAGAACGGAGTCAGCGCCACCTGAGTTAGTCCTGGGGTCCCCCTACTGTGAGGTCCACCCTATCCTGGGGCCGTGGGCAGTGACTCGATCCCGAAAGCCCTTCTGCAAAAGCAGCAGCCTGCAGACTGCGAAGAGGGCTTGACCTTGCTCTGATCACCAGCCTTTGGGTTTCGCCTTCCTGGTCTCTGTACCTCTGGCACTTGCACCAGATGTCTGCGTTATGCCCCTGGGTATTCTTGGGGTCTCTTGGGCGACCTGCTTGTACCCGACTAGGGATTCTTGGCCTTCCCGGAGCCCTTGGCCTGGAAAGGCAACTCTGCTGTGGTGTTTGGAGCCACCTTGAATCGTGTCCCTCGAGGGTTCCCCGAGCCACCTAACCTCTGAGCACCTGGGGTGACAGCTTGGGGGGCCTCACTTACCAGCCATGTTTCAACAACACTTCGATAATGAAATGCAGCGGAGGGTGAACCTGAAGGGTTGCGTGTCTTTCAGACCAGGTTACGCGTCCTCTGAGTACATCTGGGAGGGATCTGGAAAGTCACCCCATCGTGCTGGCGTGGCAGACAGAACTGGCTTCCCCTGGGAACCTAGACACCTGTACAGGGTCCTGGCTCAGAAGGACCCTTGTGGTTTAAAGCTGTCTTGTTGCCATCTTGAAATTCGTAATACTTTTTGAAGCCGGGACTCCACGTTTGCCCTTTATCCTGTGTCCCCCAATATGGAGCTGACCCTGGTGGCAGAATTTGCTTGCCGGGCTGTGTCTGACCAGGCTTCTAACATACTGTCAGCCCCCAGGAGGAAGGACGGTGCCAGGTAGTAAAAGTGACGTGTGCTAGGGAGGGACTTCTGGCCCAGCTGCTATTGATGGCTTTCTGTTCTTGGATGGCGATCAGGGTCACCTTCTCTGACAGCCCCCATCACCCAGACGCCTGTCCTTTCTGATTCTTATCTTCCTGGCATCGTTCTCTGACCCAGTTAGCTTCGCAGAACCCAGGAGCCAGGGCCGTCAACAGGGGACCCAGCCTTGTGCTGGCAGGCATCCCAGGCCACGGATCTAAAAGGAGAAGAAAGTCAAGCGAACTAGGGACAGGGTGCCTTCCCAGAGGAGGGGAGGGGAGGGAGGAGAGCGCTGAGTTCTCTGTCGGCTGCTAAGCCCTGAGCTCTGGGTGAGGGGAAGCGACTGCTCTGAACTGCCCGAGCAGCCAAGCAAACCCCGCGATCTGGTGGAATCCTGTCTCATAATTCTGAGGTGTCGTGCGTGGCCTGAGACGAGGCATGGGCCTTGGACTTTGTCTAGGGCGGCCAGTTCGCTAATGTTCCCCTCACAGTTTGATTTACCTCTTCCCCTCTTGCCTGGCCCTGATTCATTTTAAACACTAGCGGGGGAGGATAAAATATGGTGTTTGTGGGTCCCGGGAGCTACCCAGAGACACAAAAATGACAATAGCCAGACTTGAGCATTTGGAAGCCAGACAAGCCACGTACATTAGCTGGAAGATGCTCCCAGATGGGCTTTCTGTCTTCCCTTCTCTCTCTCCCGCCCTCCTTCTTTCCCTCTTGCTTTCCTTCCTTCCTGAAACTCTCTGTTGAGATGTGGACAGGTCCATTGGCAATCCTTACAACATCTTGGACCAGGTTGCGCCGTGGGAAAACGGGCTTTAGGGGACATGGACCTTTGGAGAAATGGGAGGATCTGACAAATGACTGAATTGAGCCAAAGGGGGCGGGGTAGTCCACACCGAGGGCTCTTCCAGGTTCTGTCCCCCTGCCCCCCACCCCCACCTCCTGCCAGAGCCCCACTTCCAGCGTCTCCTTTCTCTTAGCTATCATCCCCTCTTCTTTAGCAGACCCTCCTGGTCTCTAGAAACTTCCCCAGGGTGTGATGTGCACCCAGTCCCTGCCGCTGGCTGCTCTGGGAACCCACAGCAGTCTCGATCCTCATGCCTAAGTTGAGAGTCTTGAACTTTGGGTGATTTTCAGCTTTTGGTGTCTTTCCTTTTACTGCCCTTCCAGTCGCACAGGTAGACACACCGATACTGCTTTGTCTCCGAAGGGCGCTTGCAAGGCTGCAGGCGTTCCTCGAGTATGACGTTTAGGCTGCGTTTCCTGGAGCTGCAGGAGGGGTGTCGGGAGTTCCTGCATCTCACGTGGAAAGTGAATGGCTGGTGAAGGCTCAGGAGACCCCCAGAAGTATCTTTCGGATATGAGATCGAGTTCTCTGGTTTTCCCACGTTCTGTGCGCTGAGTTCTTCTAGACTGAGCATGGTCAGCACCAGGCACATCACGGCCGCTCAGTGGTGCTGCTCGACTTCCCGAGAGGTTCTGTCTGCAGGGCTTCCTCCCACGCGTGAGGCGCCCTGTCCCAAGGTGTGGGAGGCTGTCCAGAGGTCCGCACTTCCCTGCGGATGTATGCGGGTATTTTCTAGGGCTGTTGCCCGTAACTTCCATTGCATCCTCCAGGAGGTCCAGGACCCCAGAGATTTGCCAAACGCACGGGTCCCGGGCAGCCGCCCTTCTTGCCCCTGGGATGGAGGCTCATCCACGGGACAAGGGATTTTCATGGCAGTTTTGGGCCACATTAGGGAGTCCCCTTTCCCTACCCCCAGCAACCCCACCATTGCCAACGAAAATAAAAACAAAACTCCACATCTGAGAAGAACACATCCCATCGTATGGTCATGGAAAATTTGCCAAGAATAAGATAATCAGGGGAGGAGGAGGGACAAGGAGCCCCCGTGCTTACACCCCTGTGCACTCAGGGCTGTTTTCCATGAGCAAACTTCACAAGCAGAAACATCCTGTGACACGGTGGGGGGTTAGATCTGTCAGGGTCTCCAGAGAGTCGGAACAAATGGGATGTGAGTGTGTGTGTGTGTGTGTGTGTGTGTGTAGACATGTATGTGTATATAAATACACACACACACACACACACACACTCTCTCTCTCTCTCTCTCTCTCTCTCTCTCTCTCTCTCTCTCTCTCAGTCGATGTTGCAGTCTTCAGTCCCAGGCATTCAGGAGGCAGAATCCCTGTCAAGGCCTTCAGCTGATCACATGAGGCCCACCCACATTATGAAGGGTAATCTGCTTTATTCAGCATCTTCCAATTTAAATGTTAATTGTATCTAAAATATACCTTCCTGGCAACATCTAGTTGACACATACAATTAACCATGACAGGGCTCTCGCTTCTAACTGTACCCCGCAGAAGGGCGGCCCCTCTGTGCCTGCCAACGTCCCTCTGGCTGGGAGTGAATCCATCCACTCTCTGATGGCCAAGGGAGCTGCGGGGCACCCAGCAAGGCGCCCCGCTGTGTTCCTCTCCACTTTGTTCCTGAGAATGGAAGGAACCCGTCATCGGTCAGTCTCTCCAAGGAGGACACAATGAGGGAGGCATTGTGAGGCTGTGACAGTGACCGTGTTTCCCAACAAAAATCTGAGCCACATGGATTGACAAAGGGGAATGCACTTATGAAAAGAGCAGTCAGGATGTTTGAAATCATGGCTGTGGCGGAAAATCTGGGCTCTGGAATCTTGTGGGCAGACTCCAGACCCCCGAGCCCTGCCCTGTGTCCTGGTCTGACTGTTGCGTGGCCCAGGGTGGGGCCACTCTCTCCCGGTTTCCCCGGGTAAGGTGCAGATGTCAGCGTGACTCTCAAATAGTGACCTAACAAGATGACCATCCTGGCCACACTGACTCAGCAGAAGGAACAACATACGGGGTTCTAATAATAATAATGAACAAAGCATTTAAACTTGTCCATGAAAAGGCAATCATTTAACAGACCCATCTCAGCCCCCATGTTGTTCAAGAAAGACAGGCTAGTGAGTCTCCAAGGAGGGGTGTTTTAAGAGAACATCCC